GGTGAATGAATACCACCAAAATAAAGCGTTATCTGTCTCAAAAAAAATGCTAAAAAATGTCACATGGGTACAGTGTTGCATGACCGCGCAATTGTCATTCAAAGTGTGATAGCGCTGAAAGCTGAAAATTGGCCTGAACAGGAAGGGGGTAAAAGTTTCCGGACTGGAAGTGTTTAAAAAAAACCTCTAAAAAATGCAAACGTGAAAAATCGCCGCTACACGCTATTACAAAAATGCAGAAAAACTCACATTTTTAACATGACATTACACAGCTAACGTTACCAGCGTTATTAAAACGCCCCGTGTGCATGGAGCCTCAATGTTAAATGGTTATTCTCATCCCTGTAAACTGATACATCTGCAGCAGAGCTTGTTCTTTTGAAAAACAGACTTACTGGCTGGTTCACCAGATGAAAAACTAATGCAGCCACCACATCTAAGAATTGGTAAGCTGTAATATAATAAATGTTTGCTTTTTGGTTTAACCCCTTCAAAACCGGAAACTTTCACCCCGTTCCTGCCCAGGCCAATTTTCAGCTTTCAGAGCTGTCGCACTTTGACAATTGCACAGTCATGCAACACACTGCACCCAAATGAAATGTATATTATTTCTTTCACATAAACAGAGCTTTCTTTTGGTGGTATTTAATCACCGCCGTTTTTTCAAAAAAAAAAATTTGCTGAATAAATGAGAAAAAAAACCCTAACATTTTGAAAAGAAACACTTTTTTTTTTTTTTGCTTCTGTTATAAAATTGTGTAAATAAAAAAATCTTTCTTAATGAATTTAGACCAAAATGTATTCTCTTCTTACATTTCTGTGGTGAAAATAACCCAAATCAGTGTTTTAAATTTAGGCCTCGTCAGGGGCGGACTGACCATTTGGAAAGTCGGGCACTGCCCGAGGGCCCGGGGTCAGTAGGGGGCCCCATGAGATGCCCCTGGTACCTTTTTCATAGGCTTTTTTGAGTTTGGGCAAGGACACAGGGGCCCCATGATCCCCTATTGCCTGGGGGCCCCATGAGTTGTCAGTCGCCCCTGGGCCTCGTGCACACAGGGCATTTTTGCAGCCACTTTTAAGGGCGTCAACTGTTTTTTGTTGGTAATGCTTTAACATAAACATGATTTTTTTTTTCCATGTCCAGCAGACAAACTTTGCATTCCTCCATTTTCTTTTCATCTTAACTGCCCATAACGGGCGCACTGTCCTCCTTTTAACCCCCCTGGTGGTATTCCTGAGTGTAGCTCGGGGTAAAGTTTCAGCACCACAAGCGGTAACCCCCCCCGAGCTACACTCGGGAATACCCTGCGGCGCTTCTCTGCGATCCCTCGATCACTTACCTTGTCCTGCGCTCCCGCGATGTCCCCCCTGCAGTGTCCCCTGTAATGTCCTCCGGCCGATGCCGGCATCTGTCTTCCGGGTTCCGTTCCCTGCGACGTCGGGACGTACGGGGGATGGAACTGGCGGGAAATTTGAAAATGACAAAAAATGACATTCACTAAATCCACTAAAATCACATAGTATAACATTCCTGTATCAAACCATTTCACATACATTGTGTCCCGAGTGCTTTGTCCGGCGCCCTGCCTGCATTTTTACTGTTCTTTCTGCCTGGAAACTGAGAAACGTCCATGGCGTCCAAAAAGCGTCCCTTTAGGTCAGACGCGGTTTTAGACCGGCTAGAGAACAGCGATAGTAAATCAGAACCACTTGCAGAATTGAGTGATAATGATTGGTGGGGGAAATTCCTCATCAGACACTGAAAACGATTCTGCGACTGAGCTCAGCGATGTGCGAACTTGGCGCTATATTTCACATTTCAGTGTTTTTGGTTTGATTATATTATTGAATTACATTTATTATTATTATATTATTATTTTTTATGATTATTTATTAAATTATAATTTATGATTTCGTGTTTCAAGTTTTATCCTCCCCGGGATGTTTACTAGACTCTTGTTCGGACAGATTTTAGTGAGTTATTCCTAAATATTACAGGCTACAATAACAAAAATACATATTTCCATGCAAAAAAATGGTACCACTTTGAGCACAGAAATACTGACATAATCAGACCACTAGGGAGAGCCGGGCAAGCTATCCTGATTCAAGTGTAGTCGCGTACATCGCTTCCAGTCGCAGTGTGCGGCAGAACCCTGAAGATGAGCCAATTGCTTCTTGTTCTTCCAAACAAACATCCGGATCAGTCATCTGATTCCAGGCAGTAAGAACTTGCTCGCTGATGCTGCGTCATTCGGCGTATTCGATGACACTGTCATTTGCTTCCTCCGTGCCAAAAAAGCTTTCAGTGATCGCATACCTATCCAAGAAGTGTAGGTGAATCTGTGTGTTGCAATTTTTTTTTTTTGTCTATTACACGATGAAGGTAATGCAGGCCATAGACGGGTCGAAAAACGGCCGTTTTTTAAAAAAAAAGAAAAGAAAAATTGGTAGTTCAATCGGCTGACGTTACCACCAACGGTAAAAAAAATTGGCCGATTTTTGTCCCGTCTACGGCCGGCATTTAACCCCATAATTAAGGGACTTCTGTCTCTGCAGAGAGCTCCGCTATTATATTTTACTTGAAAGTATTGCGGTTGCAACAATGTATCTATTTGTATCCATTTTGGATACAGATGTTTTTATTTGGATACAAATAGATACATTTGTTGCAACCGCAAGACTTTCAAGTAAAATATAATAGCGGACTGGAATTCTTATTCTTCTTTTTCTTCTCCTTCTCCTCCTCCCCCTTTTTTTCTTCCTTCTTCCTCTTCTTTTTTCTTCTTCTTCCTCTTCTTTTTCTTCTTCTTCTTCCTCTTCCTCTTCTTCTGCTTCCTCTTCTTTTCTTCTTCTTCCTCTTCCTCTTCTTCTTCTTCCTCTTCCTCTTCTTTTTCTTTTTTTCTTCCTCTTCCTCTTCTTTTCTTCTTCTTCTTCCTCTTCTTTTTCTTCTTCCTCTTCCTCTTCTTTTTCTTTTTCTTCTTCCTCTTCCTCTTCTTTTCTTCTTCTTCTTCCTCTTCCTCTTCTTTTTCTTCTTCTCCTCCTCCCCCTTCTTTCTTCCTCTTCCTCTTCTTTTTCTTCTTCTTCTTCCTCTTCTTTTCTTCTTCTCCTCCTCCCCCTTCTTACTTCCTCTTCTTTTCTTCTTCTTCTTCTTCCTCTTCCTCTTCTTTTCTTCTTCTTCTTCCTCTTCCTCTTCTTTTCTTCTTCTTCTTCCTCTTCTTTTTCTTCTTCTTCTTCCTCTTCCTCTTCCTCTTCTTTTCTTCTACTTCTTCCTCTTCTTTTTCTTCTTCTTCTTCCTCTTCCTCTTCTTTCCCTTCTTCTTCTTCCTCTTCTTTTTCTCTTCTTGCAGGTCACGGCTCATGCGCAGATTTTTTTATCGGTAAAACGATCGGGCGATTTGCCCATCATTGCTGGGAAAATTGGCCAATCATCAAAATCGGCTGCGAAATTTCCAACATAACCGATAAAAAAAATGTGCCCAAACCTCGAAAAACGGCCGACCAATTAACCCACTAACGGTGCGAAAATCGGACGTTTTTTTTTTTTCGGCTGAAAAATCGGCCGATTTTTGACCCGTCTATGGCCTTTATTAGGCAGGCCTTAGATGACACCATTTTTCCTTTCCCTTCCACCATGGGCACAGTTTAAAAAACAAATGATTCGAGTTTTTCTGTGAACTTCAAAATGGCGGCACTACGTTCTTACTTGTAACACAGTGATCCAGATTTGTTCCACGTCGGTGACGTATCGCAGTTTGAAATTCAGCCTTCCGAATTCCCGCTCGTCTCCAGACAGTGTTATTGTATCTGCGGCCAAAAAAACCCCAAAAAGTCTGTTCATATAGATTGTTACAATTATCTTAGTAAATATCAAAGCCGACATGCAAGCAGATCTAAAATACACAAATGGCGCAGCTCTGTATTCAATAATACATCATTCAGCCCGGGATCACATATATGCGATTCGTCCAGGAACTGCCCCGCATTCCTCTACAGATCACATGCGATTTGTGTGCGGTGCGATTGGAGTCGTACATCGCAAGGCTTATGTTTGATTTTTGAAATGTGAGTGGGACTTGTATTATTTTAGTAATTTGGTGCAATAAAACTTTAATACACCATGGCAGCATCTTCCTTTCTCTTTCTGGCTGTATGAGGAGTCATCATTTCCGGGACATCTTCCGGGACTGCTTTACGGTACCTTTTGCCCACCAGTGAGGAGGATTGACTCTACGTTGGACCCTATACCTGCAGGAGGGGGTCCAGGTTCCCGATCGGTGTGGTATTATTCTAAAAGGCGTTTTGACCCAGTGAGTTCGCTTCATGGAGAAGCCCATTCAAGACCAAAGATCCATCCCAGTATCCAGAGAGGGGATCTCCTGTATACCCAGGCAGCAACACCCACCCAACCCTTAAGGGGACCTCTGGCTGATTTGGATCAACGTAGTGTCCTGAAGCTATCTACTGTGCCGATCGCCCTTCAGAGGGAGGATAATCCACCACCTGGTCTACCCTGATCTCCTTAAGAGGATATCTGGCTATATATTTTACATGCGTATTTATGTTGCGCATCTGGTGAGTGTGCAATTTTACTACACCCATTTGCACAAGCACCGGATTATCATTGAAGCAGGCACCTTCAGAGCACTATTTGTCACTTTTGAACTTCTGAATTTTTTTAATATTTATTCATCATTTATCCATCTATGAGCTTCATTATCTACTTAATTGCTGAGTCACTTTTATAGAACATATTTTTTAGCACTGCACTGTGATTTAGTGGAGGCCAGGGGCGGACTGACCATTTGGAAACTCGGGCACTGCCCGAGGGCCCGGGTCAGTAGGGGGGCCCCATGAGATGCCCCTGGTACCTTTTTCATAGGGTTTTTTTTAGTTTGGGCAAGGACACAGGGGCCCCATGATCCCCTATTGCCCGGGGGCCCCATGAGTTGTCAGTCCGCCCCTGGTGGAGGCATACATCTAATCGCACTGCACCCGCACCAAAAACGTGCAGGACCCTTTTTTTGGGTTGCACTAGAATCGGATCGCATGGGTATTCACACCTATGCGATCCGATTCTGCACATCGCACCACGTTTTGCGGACCACTTTTGGGGGGTTGTTAACATACACACCCGCATCGGTTCGCATGAACAGGGAGGGATTCTGATGCGGTGCGGAATTTGTACTAAAAATGTTGCGAATTCCACACCGTGTCAGTGTGAACCCGAGCTAAAAGTATTTTTTAATGCAATCAGCCCATTCTCTTACAAAGAGCATGCTGATGAGAGGAGAAAGCAGAGTGACAGAGATGAGCTCATCATTGTGCTGCTTTCACTATCCAGTAATATGCTGAGGAAGGGTCAATGAAAGCCTGGCTTAAAGTGGGTGTAAAACCTCAGACATGAAATATGAACAAAGCATATCCCTCTATAGTGTGTACTTGTCTCAGTGCAGACCATTAAGTGTCATATCTGTCTGCTATCCGCATGAGTCACTTGTGAGACACGTTTTCCAGACACCAAGAGAAATATGGTGACAAGGGAGGGCACAGCCTGTGATTGACAGCCTCAGCTCTGCTGCTGTGTAGAGGGGGGGGGGATGTCTATTCCCTCCAATCAGCTTTCAGAGCTCTCCTCACTGATGTAACTTCATTTCCCCATCCCCCACTTTTCAGGGCTGAGAGATCCTGTGTAAACTGCACTTTGATTGGATGTAGAGCATTTTATTCTATATCACAAAAATAGAACGAAAAAAGGGGCCACCTATATTGACACGAATATTAGTGTCATAATCATATCTCCAACTCACTTAACTTGTAAGTGTGGATCCATAAACCCAAGAAATACATATTGAACAATATGGTAGTGTGACCAGAGCACCCCTACCGAAGAAAAGAAGGTTACTAAAGGATCCAAGCAGAGTAATATGGGTTCAAAAATTACAGACAATATTTTATTTGATCACATAGATCATAAGGAGGTTAAACATAAGCACGGTGAACATATCAAACAAATAAAATCATTTTAAAAGCACTTGGCGTCCTCATTTCTGGGTCATATTGGCAAATAGGGTACCATATAGGGCAATGTGGAATAGTGGTGTAGTTCTGATCCTAAGTTTCCATAGATTTCCAACTTGTATTAGAGTAAACCGTGTATTCAACAGGTATGTTCTTGGTATAAGCCAGGATATGTAGAGTAACCTCCTGGTATGTGGAGACTGGAACATAAAAGATGAGATAAATAAATATATGTGATAATCAAGGAGCTAAATCGCACCTAGGCCATACTAGGCCACCCTATACAGTAGTCAATAGACACTTTTATTACCTTCTCAGTAGTTAGACTGTCATACCAGCTTCTTAAGTGTGGAGACTTCCTGGGTAACCACCCAAGTGAAACAAAGTCCACAGTACCAAATGATTCTGAGGATATATATAAAAATTATTGTATAGATCACGAGCATCAAGTAAAAACCTGAAAAACAAACGCAAAGTTTGGGTATATTACCATCAATTATGATCAAGAAGACTCCTGTCGACTTGAAATAGGATCAGGTCCTTGATGCTTGTTCAAAGGTGCATATGGGGGTGGGAAGCCAGGTGGTCTCAATAGATGAATTCCAAGAACATATATTATGTATATAGCAGGCAATGGATACCTGAGTATATATACCCAATGAAGGGTTTCCAAAAATTACTCAATCTGAGAAAAATGAAGCGGTTCTAATAGGATATGGCTTTGTCACAGCATACAATGCCTATATGGGATAGCATATATATACAGTCAGGTCCATAAATATTGGGACATCGACACAATTCTAACATTTTTGGCTCTATACACCACCACAATGGATTTGAAATGAAACAAACAAGATGTGCTTTAACTGCAGACTGTCAGCTTTAATTTGAGGGTATTTACATCCAAATCAGGTGAACGGTGTAGGAATTACAACAGTTTGCATATGTGCCTCCCACTTGTTAAGGGACCAAAAGTAATGGGACAATTGGCTTCTCAGCTGTTCCATGGCCAGGTGTGTGTTATTCCCTCATTATCCCAATTACAATGAGCAGATAAAAGGTCCAGAGTTCATTTCAAGTGTGCTATTTGCATTTGGAATCTGTTGCTGTCAACTCTCAAGATGAGATCCAAAGAGCTGTCACTATCAGTGAAGCCATCATTAGGCTGAAAAAACAAAAAAACCCATCAGAGAGATAGCAAAAACATTAGGCGTGGCCAAAACAACTGTTTGGAACATTCCTAAAAAGAAGGAACGCACCAGTGAGCTCAGCAACACCAAAAGACCCGGAAGACCACAGAAAACAACTGTGGTGGATGACTGAAGAATTCTTTCCCTGGTGAAGAAAACACCCTTCACAACAGTTGGCCAGATCAAGAACACTCTCCAGGAGGTAGGTGTATGTGTGTCAAAGTCACCAATCAAGAGAAGACTTCACCAAAGTGAAATACAGAGGGTTCCCCACAAGATGGAAACCATTGGTGAGCCTCAAAAACAGGAAGGCCAGATTAGAGTTTGCCAAATGACATCTAAAAAAAGCCTTCACAGTTCTGGAACAACATCCTATGGACAGATGAGACCGACATCAACTTGTACCAGAGTGATGGGAAGAGAAGAGTATGGAGAAGGAACTGCTCATGATCCTAGCATACCACCTCATCAGTGAAGCATGGTGGTGGTAGTGTCATGGCGTGGGCATGTATGGCTGCCAATGGAACTGCTTCTCTTGTATTTATTGATGATGTAACTGCTGACAGAAGCAGCCGGATGAATTGTGAAGTGTTTCGGGAATATTATCTGCTCTTATTCAGCCAGATGCTTCAGAACTCATTGGACGCTTCACAGTACAGATGGACAATGACCCAAAGCAGACTGCAAAAGCAAACAAAGAGTTTTTTAAGGGAAAGAAGTGGAATTTTATGCAATAACCAAGTCCATCACCTGACCTGAATCCGATTGAGCATTTCACTTGCTGAAGACAAAACTGAAGGGAAAAATGCCCCAAGAACAAGCAGGAACTGAAGACAGTTGCAGTAGAGGCCTGGCAGAGCATCATCGGGGATGAAACCCAGCGTCTGGTGATGTCTATGCGTTCACACTTCAGGCTGTAATTGACTGCAAAGGATTTGCAACCAAGTATTAAAAAGTGAAAGTTTGATTTATGATTATTATTCTGTCCCATTACTTTTGGTCCCTTACCAAGTGGGAGGCACATATGTAAAGTGTTGTAATTCCTACACCGTTCACCTGATTTGGATGTAAATACCCTCAAATTAAAGCTGACAGTCTGCAGTTAAAGCACATCTTGTTTGTTTCATTTCAAATCCATTGTGGTGGTGTATAGAGCCAAAAATGTTAGAATTGTGTCAATGCCCCAATATTTATGGACCTGACTGTATATATATGCTATCCCATATAGGCATTGTATGCTGTGACAAAGCCATATCCTATTAGAACCGCTTCATTTTTCTCAGATTGAGTAATTTTTGGAAACCCTTCATTGGGTATATATACTCAGGTATCCATTGCCTGCTATATACATAATATATGTTCTTGGAATTCATCTATTGAGACCACCTGGCTTCCCACCCCCATATGCACCTTTGAACAAGCATCAAGGACCTGATCCTATTTCAAGTCGACAGGAGTCTTCTTGATCATAATTGATGGTAATATACCCATACTTTGCGTTTGTTTTCAGGGTTTTTACTTGATGCTCGTGATCTATACAATAATTTTTATATATATCCTCAGAATCATTTGGTACTGTGGACTTTGTTTCACTTGGGGTGGTTACCCAGGAAGTCTCCACACTTAAGAAGCTGGTATGACAGTCTAACTACTGAGAAGGTAATAAAAGTGTCTATTGACTACTGTATAGGGTGGCCTAGTATGGCCTAGGTGCGATTTAGCTCCTTGATTATCACATATATTTATTTATCTCATCTTTATGTTCCAGTCTCCACATACCAGGAGGTTACTCTACATATCCTGGCTTATACCAAGAACATACCTGTTGAATACACGGTTTACTCTAATACAAGTTGGAAATCTATGGAAACCTAGGATCAGAACTACACCACTATTCCACATTGCCCTATATGGTACCCTATTTGCCAATATGACCCAGAAATGAGGACGCCAAGTGCTTTTAAAATGATTTTATTTGTTTGATATGTTCACCGTGCTTATGTTTAACCTCCTTATGATCTATGTGATCAAATAAAATATTGTCTGTAATTTTTGAACCCATATTACTCTGCTTGGATCCTTTAGTAACCTTCTTTTCTTCGGTAGGGGTGCTCTGGTCACACTACCATATTGTTCAATAATCATTTTATTCTATAGTTTAATGGACCTATCAATTTTTTTTTTTAAAATATGGTTTTTCTTTAAGAACTAAAATAACTTGGCTTGCATAGCCCCCCCGGTGGTATTCCCAAGCGTATCTCGGGGTAAAGTTTCAGCACCACAAGCAGTAACCCCCCCAGCTACACTCGGGAATACACTGCAGCGTTGCTTGCGATCCCTCGTTTTACTTACCTTGTCCTGCGCTCCGCTCCACCGCGATGTCCCCATTGCAGTGTCCCCTGTAATGTCCTCCGGCCGATGCCGGCATCTGTCTTCTGTTCCGTCCCCTGCGAGCGTCGGGACGTACGGGGGACGGAACTGGCGGGAAATTTGAAAATGACAAAAAGTGACATTCACTAAATCCACTAAAATCACATAGTATAACATTCCTGTATCAAACCATTTCACATACATTTTGTCCCGAGTGCTTTGTCCGGCGCCCTGCCTGCATTTTTACTGTTCTTTCTGCCTGGAAACTGAGAAACGTCCATGGCGTCCAAAAAGCGTCCCTTTAGGTCAGACGCGGTTTTAGACCGGCTAGAGAACAGCGATAGTAAATCAGAATCACTTGCAGAATTGAGTGATAATGATTGGTGGGGGAAATTCCTCATCAGACACTGAAAACGATTCTGCGACTGAGCTCAGCGATGTGCGAACTTGGCACTCTATTTCACATTTCAGTGTTTTTGGTTTGATTATATTATTGAATT